TGTGTGTGTGTGTGTGTGTGTGTGTGTGTGTGTGTGTGTGTGTGTATGTGTGTGCGTGTGTGTGCGTGTTTCTTGTGTAAGCTGAAAGACGCGAAAAATGATTGAAATAGCTATTGCTCCAAGGGTTCAGGGGATCTCGTAGTCGGGCAGTCTCGGCTAGAGCTTTCTTACTTGTTTTTAATGTCCGTCTTTACAGCGAGGATATCGAGTTTATCATTAAAAATCGATAACTCATCCCGTTATTTTTTATCGATAAAAAAATTATATCTTCTATACCTTTATTGCTAGAGTCTCCAAATTTTTAATGTATGCTTATATGCAATTTATACAATTTCGGTTTTTGTTAAAATTTTTTTTCACCCCCTCACCCCCATGTTTGTAAAAAGCGTATTTCAAATACATGTATTTCAATCATTCTATGATTAATTGGAATATGCATGTATAACAATCAACATATATAAACATACATATGTACATAGACGCGCACGCTTAAGTGTTGCTTCAGCAAATGAAATGAGTGTTTTATATTGAACTTAAGAGAGGCTTAGAAGATTATTACTTAGTGGGATAGCTTTGGAAAAAAAATATATAAATTATTTTCATTATATCTGTATCCATCCACATCAGTTCCAAAAGAGCAGCGAACATGCCCTGTTCTCGAATTCTGTAGTCGACGTTTTCACACAACTGACGCAATGCTTCGATGTTGTTAGCAAGCTCGAGTGTCCAGATCCAGAAATTTGGAAACGTTACATGAGGCGTTTTGCTAAAACAATCGTTAAAGTGCTAATTGCCTATGCTGATATTGTGAAAATGGAGTTTCCAGAGCATATGAGGGACGAACGAATTGTAAGTACAATTTCCATCGAACTTAACAAGTATGTATATCAGCCAGTTCTTCAACATATACATGTGTATAGACAAATACATTTCGAATATCTAAATGATATTCATCTTTATTTTGTCTTAGGCCTGCATTCTGATGAACAACATACAACAGTTAAGGGTTCAATTGGAGAAAATGTTCGAGTCCATGGGTGGGGATAAGTTGGAGGAGGACGCAGCCAACATTTTAAAAGAACTACAACAGAACCTTAACTCAGCCCTTGACGATTTGGCTTCACTGTTTGCTATAAGGTTTTTGCCTTTAACTCTCTTATCTATAGATATAGGATTAATTAATTGATTTCTTCGTTTACAGTTTGGAGCCACGTATAACACAATCGGTGCGTGAGCTGGGCGACATGCTTCTGTCGATTAAGGGAGGAAGTGGAAATCTCACAGCCGGCAATCAGGCAATCCAGCGAAACGCAGTAGCTGTGGAGGCTGATGATGTGTTGAGGCCTCTAATGGACTTACTTGATGGATCTTTAACTTTGTATGCCCAGTCGTGTGAAAAGACAGTGCTGAAGCGCTTGCTTAAAGAACTTTGGAAGATAGTGATGCGAATTTTGGAAAAAACTATTGTACTGCCACCAATGACTGATAAAACTGTGAGTGCCGAATCAATGGAGCTCTAAACCTTGTCCTATATTGACTCTTATTATATCTATCTAGATGATGTTCAAACATTTAACGGATAATGCAAAGAATTTGGCATCAAACGCCAAAATAGAAGACATGGGACGTTTGTTTAAGTCACATATGGCAGGAAAACAGGATGTGAAAAGTGCTCTTAGCGGTGTTATGGATATATCAAAGGAAGTCGAAAAGAACCTATCTCCTAAACAATGTGCCGTACTTGACGTTGCCTTAGATACAATTAAACAATATTTCCACGCTGGTGGTAATGGCCTCAAAAAGACATTTTTAGAAAAGTCCGCAGAGTTGCAGAGCTTGCGATATGCACTTAGCTTGTATACGCAAATGACAGACACTCTGATTAAGACATTCATCTCAAGTCAGGTGCATGAAGGTGAGCTCACTTTTTGTATACCCTGAAACCATTGAAAATGGGAAATCAGGGTATAATGGTTTTGTTAAAAGTATGTAACAGGCAGAAGGAGGAGTGGCAGACCCCACTAAGTATATGTATTCTTGGTTAGAGCGACGAGCTGAGTCGATTTAGCCTTGTCCGTCTGTCCGTATGTTTGAACGCGTCGATCTCAAAAGATATAGAGGCTAAAGACTTGTCGGTGTATACCACGCGCTAGGTCCTAGGTCCGTGTATATCACGAGCATATCGAGATTTTCTTCAAAATTGTTATCGATTAAAAACATGATCGAAAGTCATTAATAAATTTATATCTGCTAGATCATTAAATGTAAACTCTCAACATTTGTTATGTAGATTTATATGTATTTAATTTTGTTAAAATTGACCCACCAGCCCTACATCTACCCCCTCACCTTAAGTTTGTAAAAGACGTATTTTAAATACTAGAGATTTGTGCTTTGGCAAATGCATGCATATCTATGTTATAATCATAATCTGAATGTTTCATGAAGAAAAGTTATTAAACAATTAAGTTCCCATAGTAAGTCCACACTGCAGTCAATCCGTGCTTGTGCATGCTTATGCATTTTTAGGACTTCTGCTTTGGCAAATACATACCTTTGAGCGTTGTTATGACGTTTTGAAAGCGTTGTCGAAACGTGGTCAAGAATATGTATACTTTGTGGGGTCTGCTAGGACTTCTGTGTTTTAAATACATATTTCCCATTTTCAATGCGTTCAGTATATAAAAAGTAAACATTCGTTGCATATTTTTCAGTTGATCCAGAAAATGCAGATGAAAGTGTTGGTGAAATATCCGTGCAGATAGATCTTTTTTCACATCCGGGCACAGGAGAGCACAAAGTGAACGTGAAAGGTAAGTCGAAGACAAATGAGCTTATTTGTTTTGTTAAAATTTTCCTGATCCGGCTACTAGGGGCGCGGCAAATGCGCCTCCTTTTTATAGCTAGGACACTAAAATTTTGCAAGTAAAATTTTGTGAGCTGATGTTCAATCGATGAGTGAATCATACATATGTTTTTTTTAACGAGGGGAGAGGCAATTTGTATCTAAACATATTGCGATTTTCAATTCTGTCTATTCATTCAAGCTCGCACCTTCCCAATAAAATATCTATTTTATAAAAAATGAAATATGTATGAAAAAAAAAAAAAAAAACATCGAAGTGGTTTCGAACCTCTCCTACTCTAACATAATTTGCGTCGCCCTTCGCACCCGCATCACCAAAAAGTCCAGGAATCAATCGAAATTCTAAGAATGTACGAAAAAGCGCGCTTCTGCCTGTACGCAAACAATAGACGATGAGTGTGTGCTTGCTTTTGATTTCTTGGAAAACGGTATATAATATACTCAGCCATGCAAAAATAAAATGAGGATAGGTTTGAGTTAAAGCGCGCAACAGGGCGGCCTCGTCTATTATCACCCAGAGCAGAGCGAATTATGCTCAGAAAAATGGACGAGAAACCAACTAAGTGTCAGAAGAGCACTAAAAAGTAACGATCTGTCGTCCCGACTAGCCCGGAAAAAAACACTGCTGTCTGCAGATCACGCTCAAAAGCGTCTAACGTTTGCTAAAATGCACGGAAATCAGCTAGATTCATATCGGGATGATGTAATATTTTGCGATGAATCYAAAATGATGRTRTATTATAACAATGGTYCAACTAGAGAGTGGCGCAAGCCCCTAAAAGCCCTCGAGAAGAAAAATATAATACCGACTGTTGATTTTGGAAAGTTTTCGGTAATGGTCTGGGAGTGCATCTCCAGCAAAGGAGTTGGATATCTATGTTACAGTATTTGGACATTTTGCGCACACATTTAGTAACCAGTGCCCACAAGTTTGGGCTCTTTGTCAATGGCAAACCAACTTGTAGGTTTTATCAAGACGATGATCCCAAACATAAGGCACATATTGTGAGGTGCTAGCTACTTTATAACCGACTTAAGCCTCATTTAGAATTTGTGGGCTTATCTGAAGAAGAGGACCGCCAAAGAGCTATCCAAAGAATAAAACTGAGCAGAAAACCATTGTTTTGGAGGAATGGCAAAATATCCCAGTGGAATATGTAAGAAAACTGGTCCAATCGATAAAGAGACGCTTGGGAGCAGTCATAGATGCCAACGGTGGCAAAACAAAATATTAGTCTAAACTACNGTTAATTCAAAGCATTCATAGTTCCATACATTTAGTATTCATTTGTGGTTATGACAATACATCCACCATTGTAAGCGCATTTATTTCATTCCCTCTGGAATCTCGGAAATCCCTATTACCATGAATGATCGAAACTAGGAAGGATATACCACGTGTAAACTGCTGTGGATGCTATGGGTATTAAGGAAGTCAAGGAAGTTAAAAGAGGATTATTACAATATAATTAAATGTGCATTTTCCTTTTTTTTTTTCTGTTTTCTTAAATGTGATTTATGAAGAATTTTTCCAGTTTTTGTTTTGATTGTCACATTGCGGTTTTCCTTTACTTCGTCTTTTGCAAATCTCTTTTTGTCCTTAGTCTTAATTTGATTGTTTCTTTTATATTATTTCATTGAATTACTAATTGTACGTGTGTTATTGCGCTGTCTGTTATAGAATTACTTGAATTACCAATTACTAGTTGTATTATCTTTTGTTACCGAACCGGCAAACAGTTTTTATTTTTTTATATAGCTTGGGAAGCCCTCAGGATCCTTTTTGGTGTAAGACCTACTTAGTTGAAGGTGGTTCCACAATCATCTGGTCTCTCTCTTACTTTCGATTAATTTTTTTTTTTTTTTTGCATTTATATATTGTTGCTAGACTTATTCTTTTCCGAAAGGGAAGCCCAAAGTATTCCTCTTTGGTTCTAAGACCTACTAGGGTAAGGGTTATTCTACGATCGAATAGAAGGTCTCCTGCAATTCATCTTTTTATTTTTGCATATTTATACTTTGCTTGTTGATTAGAGATTTCCAGACATCCGCCTTTTAATTAGACTCATTCACGAATGTGAAATGAGTATATTGGTTTTGTGCAATGTCCGTCTTGC